GGAAGTAACTCGTTGTAGTCCCTACCAGCCGTTTTTGTAGGCATTAAACTGCCAGAATTTTAAAAGACGATATCTCCGTTTGCATTGAACTTTCAGCTTCGTAACTTTGCAGATATTGTTTATGCTCAAACAGCAACATTACAAACTAACTAACGTTAAAAAAAGTGAAATCTCAATCAACCACCCCTTTAACTATTATTTTTTCTTGTGGACTATATGTAAACATCTTTTATGTGAAATATCTTATTCAGGTCAGTACTAAATAAACAATAACATGCATTTTGTATGATCCCTCTTATTTTCGTAAAATAACATTTATTTGATTCTCCAAGGTGTATGTAAATTTTTGACTTCAAGTGCAGACAGACAGACAGATAGATAGATAGATAGAGCTATATATTAAGTTGTTTGTAGATGCATCAATAAACATTAAGCTTACTGTACTCATATGTGCTCCTGTACTGAACAACTGTTACTAATATAAGCCTGTGGTCTACTGTGTGGTAGGGATATGCCGGTATCAAATTTTCATGTTGCGATTAATTGCTAATGCTTTTATCACGGTATGCGGTATTATCACGATATTGAAATTTAGTTTTAAAAAAAGTGCTGTCATAATACAGTTACATCAGAGTGCGCACGCGTCTTTCACGCAGCATACAGCGGTGTTGTGCATTTTGACCAGTTGATGGGAAAAGTATTCTTAAAATGCATTCAAAATTCGGAATAATTTGTAATATATAACTATTCACGGTATTTAGAAGTGCCCACGATAACAATATCGTGCATATTCATTACCGCGATATATCGCATTACCGAATACCTGCACAAGTCTACTGTGTGGTGCAGTTAATCTGACAATCTTAAGGAAACATGACCTTCACCAATAGAGGACAATATGTCATTGATTTTGACATTTATATCATCACTCTATATACTGTAGCAAAAAAAAGAACAGCTAAAAGACATATGATTTGTTTTATAATTTTTAAATGGTTCAATTAGAACTTGAATACTCACCTACTAAGATTGTCACTACTTGGTTGTTGGCATACTGCTCGATCTCCCTCAGCCACTCAGGAAGGCACCGGAAGGAATCTTCACAGGTGATGTCGTAGGTGAGAATGAGAGCGTTGGCACTGCGGTAGTAACTCTGGGTAATTGAGCGGAACCGCTCCTGCCCGGCCGTGTCCCAGATCTGGAGCTGTGGGAATGAGCGGATCAAATAATCAGTGAAGTCACTTAGTACTTCTAGCAGAACCCAACACAAGCTACAGCTTTCTGTCTATTTCATTAGCAGGAAGTGCACTGAAATGCGGAAAAACGCCTAGAGGTACACAGACTCAAATACAAGGGCTTAATCAGTGAGTGGTCTACTCTAAATTGATGCTTGATACATTTCAAGGCCAAGATTAGTCACATTATATAAAAAAAAAAAAAAGAAAGAGATATACCAGGTGTTAATATAAAATATAAGAAGCATTTTTTATTGTCTGAAGAATGCTGTGACTGATATTCCAAACATACTTATAATGCAATTGACATCAAGCACACAAAACAGACGTACACTACAAAAAGTAAGTTTATCTGTATAGTGTATTTCCAACATGCCGCTAGTTTCGGTTTCACTGTAAATTAAGTATTTTAGGTTTGGCACTTATATAAAAAAATTGCTTTTAATGAATCCCACAATAATTTCTGCTTCATTCCTGTTCCATTCTGAAGACTTTTAAATTGAAAGGACTTTTTGTGGAGTGAGGGGAACTAAAACACATTTACAGTGTTTATAATGTTTTGTTTTATTTACTAATATTTTTAAATGAATTCTGAATGTAATATTATAATGTGACTTATACAACGATACGATTTTGAACCCCTGTGATTAGTCAGGTGCAACTTCTACATATATTTAATATATATTTAAAGCAAATTCTTACAGTATTTTTTAATTGATTACTTCATTTTATTTAGCCATGTTAGAAGAATCCTTCTTGTGTCACCACCAACAGCCAACATATTATTAGTATTATTATTATAAAAAGTAATAAAGTTATTATTATTTTCTTTTATTAGATAGTGAAGCGCCCTTGGGTTTGGGGCTATGAAAATAAATAAGACATAATAGTAACAACAATATTTCATTATTATTTATTTACATAGCCCTCTTCTGCAAACCAAAGGTCACAGGGTATGACAAAAAGAAATCAAGAGCATAACCAAAAGATTACATAGCATGCAAAACATAAGAAGAAACATAAAAAAGATGAAAGAATGCAATATATAGACTGAAAACTAAAAATAAATAAATAAAATACTTTAAGTCACTCACTAGTCACTATCTATTTTTTTTTTTTTTTAATTCATTCATGCATGCAAAATCAATAACCACTATATTCCAATAAAATTCCCATACAGTTACCTCACAATTCTACTAAAGAGGCTTACCCACCTTCACCTTCACTCCTTTTATTTCCACTGTTTTGATCATGAAATCAACTCCAATGGTGGCACCTTGTCCGGGAGGGAAGAGCCCCTAGAAATGCAAGAAGTTGTTTAAATGCAACGATCATTATGAAATTAGGGACTGCAAATTGTGTAAAAACACTTACACATTGCAAACCTCTAGTGTTGTTTTGTTATAGCCAAGATAATGCTATGAGTTATTCCACACACCTGAGTGAAGCGTCGGACGAGGCAAGTTTTGCCCACTCCTGCATTTCCTATCAGCACAATTTTGAATAAGTAATCATAATCCTCCATGCTCATGCTCAGCTGAGGGAACATGAATGAAGAGAGAGAGAGACAGGCGGATAATATGTGGGTGTTAAGAACTGCAATGCAATCTACACATGGCTGAGCAACATCCCTCTGATAAAACACTGTTTGACGTAAAAGAGCCCTTACAGAACAAACATTTCAATGACACCAGTGATGTATTACTGAGAACAAACGAGGGAATGAACTACGCCTGATGTCTCTAGGGACCATTTTTTTTGCTGTCCATTCTTTAATTTATTCGATCAACAGTGCCTCTGTATTTCACTACACACATTAGCAGTGTTTGTTTCTGAAGTGTTGCTATAGGAGAAGCTGCTATGCATGTGCTCAAACGCTGCTGTTGCCAAGGCCTATGGCAGGATGCTGAGAGGACCGCAAATAAAGAAGACACAAGGAATAAAGAACAACTCCCAGAGGCCTGTCAACACACATGCATACACGCAAACATACTTTCAACAGCTAATTAAGAACTGTGGTGGATGTAAGCATAAGAAATTGAAAAGAAATACAATTGGAAATTCGTACGTTGAGCATAAACAGGCCCCCTTTACAAATAATTTTAATTCAATAAAAAGTGAACTTAATTAGCTGCATGAATAAACATTCGAACATTACAGAACCGTGTCATCTCCACTGCAAAAACTGATCTCACATTCATTTTGTATGAAATTAATATAAAAAAAATAAATAATAATACATTATTAATTGTATTATTATTACCATTATTATTACTGTTATGAACTAATACAACTGAAAACTGCAAGTTGAGCATAAACAATACATTTTTGATTAAAGAAATAACTTCATCACCACCGCAAAAATACTTTATCTCACATTAATTTTGTAATTATTACAAAATTATGCGTTTGTGCTCAGCCACAATTATATTTAATATTTTTGGACACGATTTATGGTATGTTTAGCAACAGCATAAACACAACTTTTTACTCTCGTAGAATAAACAACAACCTTCTAAACTGGATTTCATTTTCATCCAGAAATCAACACGTTGAAAATAGATGAAATGTAACGTCACTATTCCTTTAATTACATACATTATGACTGTAATTTGTACTTTACAGAACAAAATAAGGATATTAAATAACAGAACAATAAATATATACTTTATTGATCCCTATTGGGTATGGATGAAAACAAAAAAACCTGACATGCAATATCTCTAAGCAGAAAACTGAAATCTGATATGCAATATCACTGAGCACAGCAAAAGACATAGATGTGGCCTAATACACTTCCTTTATATTCAGACCCTTTATAAATAGTGAAAATTGCACATTTTATTTTATGATGAAATAAAACCAGCAGGCACAATGTTCTCCATTAGCTAGCAGGATCGATGCTCTACACATTAAAGGTCACATTAAATCATCTTTACACTTACCAAACACTGGGGATCCACCCCACTGCTTCTATTATTCCGAATGCATTCAGTCTTTTCTTCAGGCTTTTAATCTAAACGATGATAGCAATCGTGCAGCGCCAACAGCAACCTCAGCAGATTTTCGGCTCCAGTGTTTCCTCGATTTTTTTGACAATGACGTCATGCTGCTTCCCCAGTGGAAGCCGAGTCCGGAAAACATCGCAGCTGCATTCTGGGATTTGTAGTTCAACGTTCACCAGTGGAAATGGCAAAACAGAAAAGCAGGACAAAAATAAATAGATAAAAATAAGTCATAATAAGTTAGATATCAGAGTCAGAGTTTAAATATCTCTGTTTGTACTTCAAAATATAGTTACAAATTACCAAAAAAATATATTTGCTAAAATAATGATTTGCTAGTATAGTTCTAAATAAATATATTTAAATTAAATAAATATATTTTCAACCAATAAATGTTTTTTGTTGTTGTTGAAAATATATTGAAGACGAACTTTATTTGCTGTCTACGTGTGAAAATATAACAGTTGACAAAAAAATCAGCAAAGAACATAGGCTACTTTACAGTGTTTTAAAAATACATAAAATACATTACAATATATAAAATAATTACACATTATTACATCAATATAAATTTAGTTTTGATCTCGAGTAGGCTATTCCATTCCACATTTGCATTTAGCCTATTTTCTTGCCCCTGAAATACATATTTAAAATTAAATGAAAGTTGGAACGAAATATATTTCCAGTTTTAAAAAAAAATTTTTAATTGAGCTTCACTGTTTACAACATATATTTGGCATATAGTTAAAATATATTGGTCCGGGAAAAAATAGGAGTATAGTACTACAAAAGACCTGCACAAAATAAGATAAGCTTGAAGTGGGTATTTGAAGCGATTTTCACATTTAGATCGAGCAGATGCTCTCTCCGGAACACTTGTAAATCCGCCATGTGTTTCTCACCGGAGCGGTTTTCATTTCCGCCTAAACATTGCCCTTGATTTCCTCTAGGAGGTGATATGGAAAGTTGAGTGTCAAAGGGGTTCTGACTTTAGAAGAGCCTGATTTTTGTCACAATGGGGCTTCTGCCTGACGAGGCGAAAGTTTTGCCTCCTCCGGGGATCGTCAACAGAAATTCAGTGTGGTTCGGTCTGTGCGGCTGGGCGTCCGCGATGCTGCACAACAGTTTAAACCGCAGGCCTGCGCTCAAAGCCGGTGAGAACACAGCTACACCAATGCATTTATAATAAACTAAATCTCTAACATCAACACATTGTCGTTTAATTTCATAATAACAACGAAATAATGCGTTCCTCGTTGAGTTTAACGTTACTTACAACCCTTACACAAATCAACTGTGGTGGCAACATATAAGTTACATGGTGCTGAATGAATACCACATTCTTGATATTTACATGGTTACTACATTTTATTATCGAGAGCAGTGGAATTGCTATTGCACTCCTTCTTATCACTTAAGCCAATAATATTGCTAGTGACTGCATATCACTAGCATATAGCACTACGTTATGTATCTAACTGACAAAATGTCGTGTAAAATTAATGCAGACGTCATACCAGTTTGTGTACATTTTTTCAAGAAAACATCAACAAATTTAATGCCCCTCACCAGTAAAAATCAGCAAGCATAATTGGATTATGCAAACATGTTTTTGTTTTTGTTTTGTTTTTCAAACAGGTGTTCACCGCCAAGCGCTGTTCATAACTGTTGGATGGTTCATTGGCTATCATCTCACAAAGTTTGAGAATTATAAATATGCCACATTGGACAGGGACATGAGTGAGTACATCCGGCTGCATCCTGAGGAATTTCCAGAGAAAGGTAACAGCACATGGAAATCCAGCCGCATTACTGTCTTGAGGTTTTCTTTATATTAAAATGATTGTGTATGCTGTTGCCACAATACTTTCAATCTTTCAACAATTTTATTTCACTTTCTCAAACCAGCACTGAAGACATTTGCTGAAATCGTGGAGCCTTTTCATCCAATTCGTTGAAAGGATGTACTTGTCACAAGGAATGTGAAGACTATTGTTGCAAATCTGGTTGAACAGACTTTACTGTTATAAACACTCTTATATTGATTTATTACGTTTGTCCTCAACTTAATAAATTGTCCTCAATGTCATTAAAATGTCTGAAACAAATATCTGATTTTTTTTTTTTCTTCCCAATGCACAATTAGTTTTTACATTACCAGATTACATTACCACATTAAGTGAAGTAAACTTCAGCCGATTTCCCGTGTGCAGGGAGCAGAGAACAGTGAACACTTATGTAGGGAACATGTCAATCGGAACACAGTTCATTCATGGAGCTCGTAACGAGCTGGTTATCTAAATCAGGTGTGAGAGACATGCAAAATATGCAGAGCGGGGGTGTCGCGAGGACTAGGATTAAAGGCAGAGTAAGTGATTTCTGGTAGCCAATGTTGATATTTGAAATCACCAAAATAAACACGCCCCTACCCCAAAAGGGTCTTGCCCCTATTTTGATAGCTCCGCCCCACATATACGTACGCAACCCAGGCAACGATTAGTTCTGTGAAACAAAGCAAAACCAATGTTACACCATGTCTACGGACGTGAGCGGCGCGGCACAACAAATCCCCGACAGAAAACTGCTGCCGGGTTCTATTTATGACCTGCTGACACACATTTCAAATGGTTTTCAACGGTAGTTTGATCGCGTCCAGCGTAGGCAGACTTAAATTTTTGTTTAAATTGATAGTTTAGTTGTCCTATATACTTAAATTGGTCATGTTCTTGTTAGGCTGCTAGTTAATGAAATCCAAGTAAAAAAATGCAGACCCTGTTGTATTTTCTTGTAATTTATTAAAAGAAGGTACACCGCCATCTTGTGCCGACTAAACTGACTTGAACGCACCTGACGTCGTAATTACGACTTGTCAACTCGTAAGTACGACCGTCCCAGGAGGACTTGAACGCAGCATCAGAACTGCTGATAATAATTATATTAATTTTATATTACCCACCCTCAAAAAAAAATGCAAGAAACACTTCAAAATGTCTCATTTGTATTCAATGGAAGATATATACGGTTTAGAATGACAGTACTTTTATTTTCACAATTTAAGTTCAGTCTGCGTATGTAGGATACTGATTATGCATTTTAATGTCCTTTAAAGAGTGTTTGGCATGTTGTCAGAAAGCATGTTGCAAAGACATGCATAAACAAGGTCATTAGAATCTCTGAAATGACCGTACAAATAATTGTGACCGCACCGAACAGCATGACATTTGAGGCTGTGCTTTCATGCCACAAATGATTTCAGCTAGACTTTGGCATGGATATTGTACCGATAGCCTGTCTCATGCAATAATGTGCAATCGCAGGACTTTTGCAGCAGATTCAGTTGCTCTTGGTTTACTTTGGAAGATTTCATCTACTTCTCGTTTGCCATAAATTCATATTTAAAAACGGAATTATTCCAGTGAAAGGAGCATGTAATATTATTACAGGACTTCATGTATAGTGTGTCTGTGTACGTCAGGGTTATTATCGTTAACAAAAACTGTTAAAAAAACATTTTTGTTAATTGAAATAAAGCTGAAATACAATAAATTATAGATAAATACCTAAAAAGATATATTAAAACCAGATATGTTACTTTGGCAGCTAACTGAAATAAGTTTAAGATGAAGCACTAAAATTACTAACTGGAAATAACTAAAACTGAAATAAAGACTCTTAATTTAAATAGTAATGTTAAAATGACAAAAGCAGAACAAAATTAAAATGTAAACTAAAAATATAAGAATAAACGCCAATTCAAAAGATATTAATAAAATCTAAAATATAGCACTAGTGTACGTACAGTAATTTGGCAATATTACAACAGTTGCCTTTTATTATTGGCTTAAATTTGTTACATCTCGATGATTTCACAAGCACATGTTCTGGTCATTTTGACTGACATTTTGTGAATTCCTTTTACAATATATGATATGCACATTATGTACAATTGCATCAAGTGAAAGTCTAAGCATTTCAGTTATCTTGTGTATGTAATTTACAAAATTGTGTTCATTAAAAAACAAATCACATAACTTGCACTGCAAACCCTAATATTTAAAGGGAAGCCGTTTGTCTGTTTTAAAATGTAGAAATTTCCAAAGGGATTTAGAATTGTTCGCTTTCGATCATTACACAGAATGCAAGATAATAGTACAAGCAGCCAAATGTAATGGACGAAAAACATTAATTTAAATATTAAAGAAGAAATTATTTTAAATACACTTTTAAAACAAAATGATTTTTTATATTTTTTATTGCATGTCACATAGATAGTGACAAGGACGTAAACAGCTTTCCAGGTAATTACAACCTATCCCAACATGGATTTTTCCACAAGATGTGCTGAATCCTAACGACTGATGCCAACGATGTCCAAATATTTCTCAGTCAAGTTCTGGGACTTCTTCGTGAGCGTAGCCATGACTGTGAACAGGCCTCGCAGATGGAAATGGAAAAGCGCCTCGAGCTCGGCCTCCAGCAGGGGCTCCAGAACTTTGTGCAGGGTGGCGTGACTCTTGGCCTCGGCGTTGTCATGTGGGATGAGGCCGCTCTCCACCGTGTTCTTGATGGCTTTCAGCAGAAGGTAGTACTCATACAGGTCCATGCTGTGGTCGGCGGCCTCACAGTCCGGATCGTTGTCGTACGGCACGTCTCTGAGGAGGCTGGGAAGCAGGATGGTCTGCTCCATATTGTGCACTGTTGTGCTGTAGCGCCTCAGGGCCAGCTGCAGGGAGCTTCGGCTGAGCTTGGCATCGGCAGACTGCATGGTTGCTCAAGGTGGGTTTCAGGCTTGATTAGATGGTGTAGCAGCCCGGGGCCTGGATGCAGTGCAAAATCTGAAGAAAGGCTCTTTTTATAGCGTGTCTGACAGGGGCTGTGTGGGACAGTTGTGCAACATAGTGGCCTGATCTGCTAGTGGTTGAGTTCAGTTAAAGCACCCCCTTTAGCTAAAACACCCCTTATTTCTTCACAGCGTGATATTCTGGCTGCCATGCTGAGATCGAGCAGTTTACTGAAGGACACTGACCCCAGAATGGTGATTTACATCAGTAGTGTACTTCACGCCTAAAGAGTGT